CGTTTTTCTTTTTCTCTCTTTTTTTCTATGGACGAAAAAATATTTCTTTTTTATTTTTTATTTTTTTATTTTTAGGAAGCAACTCTTTCTTTCTTTCATTTAAAAATAAAGTTAAATACATATATATATATATATGCTTATACCGTCATCCGTTAGAATCTTATCGAACTAACAGAGATAATCATGACTCTTTGTTAATAAACAAATAATTTGATTATAAATTGAGATATAAACTATCCTATCTTTCAAGTTGGATGAAATTGCACATAATGTGAAAAATTTGATTCAAATCGGTTCAGTAGTTTAGCAGTCCATTGTGGACAAACAACGTGACACGTAATTTATATATATATTAAGATATATAAAATCATATCTAATCATTCATCCAATTGATACATGATAAAACAAGGAAAACGTATATAAATAAATATATATATATCTTGATGAGAATATTACTAACAAATTTGTTACGATCGATATGGGGGGTGGTGTGACTTTAACAGATATATATAACTGATAAACATTGTCCATTTTTTACGATACAACGTAACGAAGTGTGCAAAATTAATAAATTCTTGATTATATCGTTTAAATAATGAGATCTCTATTATTATTACGCACGTACTTTCTCGACGATGTTAATTTCTCAGATCGATGAATAATTCAGCGAGAAGGCCAAGATCGATCGGCATTCGTGTTCGCTCCAGCAATTCCTTTCACCTTTGCAAGAGAAAGACAGAGAGATAGTTAGATACAGAAAAAGAAAAAGAAAGAGAGAGAGAGAGAGAGAGAGAGCGAACAAATAAAAATAGAAAAAAAAACGACGAGATAAATGAATTCGTTAATGAAACAACCTTTTCTTTTTTTTTAAGTCGATTAACAATAATAATTTTAGTATGATTATACTCATTGGTCGATAATTTATCATCTCGTTAACAAATGATCTATGTTATGTGTCATTATGTATATGCATAATTTTTTTTATTTTATTTTATTTTTTTTTTTTTATTTATACGTTTCGAATATTTAATATCATTTCTAACCTGTAATTATTTGTCTTTCTTCTTTTCTTTCTTTTTTTTTTTTTTTAAATTCAACGTCCTCCATATTGATTAATGTTGCAATCAAAGTATTCGTCGCGATTCATTTGTTTCCACGAATATTCCATCTAATTTATTTATCGCAATATGAATTTGTAAATATATAACCGTAGGTTTTATGTACATTACGTAAATATATACATACATGCATACACATATGTACATTATGTCGTACCCGAGACTGTGTTTCATAAAGCCCGCCAGTTAAATATGGCGCTTGGCAAACGGGTTGTTATTGCGCGCGAAATTCAAACGCTTTCTCGATACTGCGAACGGCAAAATCAAAATGTCTCTTATGTAAATTAGCAATGAATTAAATTGCCATACTGTTGCCCAGGTTTCTACAATGTTTTACGTGATTTCCATGCAAATTTGATCGCTAGACGAAGACCAATTAAGCAATCACACCATTTTCCTCCTCCTACCACCAGCAGCCACACCACCACCACATCAATTTTCATTCGAGATGAAAGATATTCCGATATGAAGTGTATATTACTTCATATTATTTATTTAGATAAAAAAAAAAAAATAATGTGTTAAATGATTCGATATGATCTGTATTATATTATATTATATTATACTTAATATTAAAAATATAATTTATAATCACAGATAATTTCAATTGAAAATTTGTCCTTCTTCATATTTTTAAAACAATTCTACGTATTATAAATTAATTTCAATATCGTTAAATAATTTATTTGAAATATATCAAAGATCAATACTCTCATTGACGTTGAATTTTATTTATTCTTAATTTTGGTTGAATGAAAATCTATAATTATATATAGGGTGATTCGATGCAATGGAAATAACAAAATGGCGACAAACATACGAGAGAATAATTGCCGCGTTATTTTACGAGCTGTTTTTCTAGGACACGTCGACGATCGACGATGGCATATTATATATCTCGTCCCTCGTTTGAAGCTTGCTCGATGCAGGAGGAAAGAGGCAAAATGCATTTAAATTGTCATCCCCTTCTTCACCTCACACCCCTTCTTCTTCTTCTTCTTCTTCTCCCTACTCCCTTCTTTCCTCTTTCCCTTTTATTCCCTCTTTTTCTATCTCTCGCATACCTTTTTTCCTTTTTTTTTAACCCTTTCATCATCATCGTGTTACGACTTTCCCTCGGGGGACGTGACGACAATTTTTCACGAATGATTAAAAAAATATTTTGAATCATGTTATAACGATTTTATCCAATAGCCTTTTTCCTTACATAATAATAATAATAATAATAATAATAATTTTGCTTGATATTAGATTATTATTATTATTATTATTATTATTATTATTATTATTATTAATATTGTTAAAATATATATTTATATGTACTCATGTATTAGATTGTTCGGAAAGTAATTTCGTTTATTCTTTTGTGAAAATAAAGACAATTTTCGTTTTGAGGTTAAACGTAGGCCTTTCGAGTGAACAAAAATAGTTGAATTTGATAAAATTAACCTCTCATCGATTTCACGTGTTGTTATTTGTCATTTTGCATTAACCAATATTTTTATTGTGTCAAGAAGAAAAAAAAACGAAATTACTTTACGAACAATTCAATATATTTTAATATTATGTTTATTGATTTATTGGAAACTTGTAAACTTTTTAATTATATTATTTTTAGTTCGATCAGTTTTATTTTTTCTTAGATTTTTTATTATTTTTTTTTTTTTTTTTTTTTAATTATATAATATAAAAAATGCAATTTTTCCAACGTTGTTCCTGAATTCCGCCATCCTGACATTTCTTGTTGGAACATTGCCAATGAATGCTGCAACGGAATCGTGAAAATAAACGCGCGTCGATCGACCTGCGATCGGTAAAGGCAACTACTACAACTACAACTGCAACTGCAACTGCAACTGCAACTGCAATTGTAACTGCACAACTGCGACAGCAATAGAAACAGCAGGGCATCGTTGTTGTTCGTGTTGTTGTTGTTGTTGTTTTACCGTAACATTTTGTTATTCGTTTCGAAAGAAATCTGTAGAAGAATAGTTGTTGTTTCCTCTCGATCATTTTTTTCCTTCTTTTCATGGGGGTTTTCTATTTTTTTATTATTATTATTCCTATGAGATCGATTTAAATTCGACAAAAGACATACCATCAAATAATATTCTTATTACAATTTATTGAGATTACGAGTTTTAATAGTGAATTGGTAATTTGTTATTTGACACGACGAATATACACGTCCAACGCAACGCAGTAGAGATTTGATCCGACGTGTATACACGTCTGAGAACAACGCATTTAATTGTTTAATATATATATATCTTTTATATTTTTATGTATTTTATTTGATACTTTTCAACTATTAATAGAACATTTTATTAATTTGCTAATTGTGTTAATTTGTATAAAAACGATACTTAAAATCATTTTAAATTTCTCCAATGGAAGAAGATTTTTTTTTTTTATTTTTTTTTTTTTAATCTCTTTTATAGTTGAGTAATTTAACAAGAATATAAAGCAATAAATGTGCCTTTTACTAGTTGTTCCTCTTTATCCTTTGTTTCTTCTTTCACTCTTTCTCTGTCAATGTCCCAACCGAATGGCGAATACTTGGTGAGAGTTAACGCGTTGGGCCTTTAATGAAACTTCCGGCTTGTATAGAAGGAATTCCCCTCTAATACGACTTGTCTTCTTTTTGTAATGATCGAACACCACGAACATACTTATATGTATATGTGTATATGTGTATACATACATACTAAATAATACTTCACACAACACTTCAAATTATAATTATTCAGAAAAATTTCATTTTTTTTTCACAACACGAATTCTATATAAAAGGATATATATATATGTGATTTTAAATCCCTAAAGTAAAAAATAAAAAAAAAAACTCTTTTACCTATAAATGTATTAGTTAATACTGAAAACTGTATATAATCTTGTTTTAATAGCGATCAATGTTCAGCTGTGCCATCACAAGCACACACTTCCTAATCTTGTTATAATATATATTCACATTCGATTCATTCTCAATTATTTAAATAAACGTAATATGTATTAAATAAATATAAATAAATCATAGAAATGAAAAAAAAAAAAACATTTATCTTTCGATGTAAAATTAATGGACGTTTAAAAGAATGTTCTCAAAGAATAGTCAAACATTGTAATAAAAATATATAGGAAATAGGACAAAAAACGTATTGAGAGAATAAGAATAAGAATAAGAAATAAAAATAGAAATAAAAATAGTAAAAAAAAAAAAAAAAAGAAATGGTTACAAAGAGAAAAACTTGAGCCAGTCATCCGTACGAATTTATTGATCTCCAGAGGGAGGAGGCGGCTTATGTAATCCTCGGCCTTTGTCCCTTGCATTTTATTTCCGTTTCTCGTTCGGCTGGAAACAGAAAGAAAAAAAATGAAAAAAGAAACATAAAAAAATACAACAAAAAATAAAAAGGATGAAAGAAATGATAGAGAAAGAGAAAGAGAGAAAAGGAAGAAGAAAAAGGAGAGGTGATAGTGGTGGTGGGATGTGTTTCTAGTCAACGCACATAATCTTTTCTCACTTTTTATCTTTTGAATTTCACCTTTCACCAATTGAGTTGCTATTATGATCGTGAAAAAAAAAAAAGAAAAAGAAAATAAGAGAGTAAAAACGTTTAATTTTGTTCTTCCATTCGTTGCACTTTCTATCGTACGATCATACAACAAAGAAAAACCACCCCTCCCACCTCTTAATTCATTATAATATTGTATATCGTGTGTGTGTGGTGTATTGTTTAAAGAATGGGATTTGGGTTGTTTTTCATTGATTCCAGGATATATTTAATACTAGGGATGCCTCGCCATGTTTTGCTGTGCCTCACAATCAGTCCAATACACACGTCTTTAATAATAATAATTTTTTTTTTTTTCCATTTGCAGAAGCAGCAGCATTAGCAGGCAGTTTTGGCGGTGAAGCAAGCACTTGGGAAGCACAAGCATTAGCAGGCAGTTTTGGCGGTGAAGCAAGCACTTGGGAAGCACAAGCATTAGCAGGCAGTTTTGGCGGTGAAGCAAGCACTTCGGGAACACAAGCATTAGCAG